GCGATGACTGAAGTGATTACGTGGTTGACTAATCAGTTATGCCGACATCAAAACGCTTCAAATATACAATTGTCTTGTGTACTTTCTTTGATTAAAGTCGTACAATCGAAAGTGGAGCAGACAACCGGGGGTGATGCTGACTATTTGCGTCACATATGATGTCATGTAATACCTTATTGTTTGTTTATTTAACTGTGAAGTTTTGGTAACGGCGGGGCCTTGGCATTTCACTTCCACTGTGCAGGCCTGTTTTTTGGGTTGTGCCGGTGGTCTCATGCCCTACTGTGCGTCAGAAATGCATATTCTGCTCGATATTGTGTCAATTCGTCTTCTGTGAAGTCTCGATTATACATTCCAATGTTTTCTTTACATACACTCGTGTGCTCTGATCTGCAAAAGTAGTGGAACTAAGGCTGTTCGTGGGCTTATTACACCAAAATTGCTCGTAATGCAATTTTTCCGAATAGTCGTTTCGTACGCTTCATATTTTGAGATGATTAACTAAGACCGGTTCATAAGGGGAATATTCACGGTGTAATTACATCTAATGGGATCATTTAATTGGGTTTCGGTGGTTTAATTACTTTACTCGTTTGCTTTCCTGCGAGTTTCTACTGGTATCATGCGTTCAAATAGGTATTTTTTTGATGTTTACTCAGTTAGCATTGTGTCGTATTTTCCATGAGGTATGTGGTGTAGCCTTACCCTTTGTGACAGATTATTATTACACAACAACACATTTGTTTTACAAATTGAGCAATTCAATAGCGTAACTTAAGCTGGGGTATGATTCTCATTTTTCAATTTCCTTGATTTGTTTATTTAAGTTAATTCTACCTGATGGCCGAATTTAAAAGAACTTGTCTCACTCAATGGAGTGGTTCTATTGAAACACATTAGGTAGTCGTGCAAGACACTTATATTGCAGGGGAGTTAATAAAACACATTTGAAGATTAGTATTTATTGCATCTGATTCCGTCCCGTGGTTTCACTATTTTGCCATTTGCAGTAATCCGAAAGTACTTTCGAAAAATTCCAATTCAAGGCCCCCTTTAAAAGTCCTTAGGGCGACAATATAAACTCTGGTTTTTTTATAAAAACTTCGCATATCAAAACCATGATAGCATTCATGCATCCATAAAAAGCGGAAGACTAGTGAATTTGGGTGGAGTATCATAGGGGCGTGTTGTCGCTGCCTTTGGCACTGCTGGTTCCACTGTCGCGGTAGAAGTTGGGTCCAACACCCTTGGTGCGCTTGATCAGCTCCTCAATCTTCGGCGAAAACCGGTAGACGTAGCGCTTGCCCGTAGATTTCTCAATGATTTTCTTATCGTAGTAGTAGCGTAGTCCTCGGCTCAGCTTCTCGTAGTTCATCTTCGGCTTGTTCTTTCGTAGACCCCATCGGCGGGCCACCTCGTTGGGGTCTTTCAGCTTGAATTCAGCGCCGTGGCCCGTCCAGCAGATGTAGCGCGAGGAGAGAGGGTCTTGCAACTCGTCCAGCAGGAACTGCCACAGCTGAATTTGTCCGCCACTACCACCACTACCCGACACCTGTTGTGACTGCTGCTTTGAGGGCTGGGGTGGAGGAGGTGGTGAGGAGGAGCCAAGGGGGTCAAGCCAGTGAAGCCCCTTCTCCCCCTCCCGCTCTGCCCCTTCCTTCGCGTACTCGGACACCACCCATCCCAGACTGGTAGGCGTCGAGGTTAGTGCTTGTGGAGGTGGCAGTGAGATTGCAGGTGTGTCGGCTTTGTAGTTAGTGTCCCATTCTGGCGAAGTCGATTTACTAACTCATTTTTTTATTTTAAACGTAGCAGCCAACGTGATGCAGATTGCTGTCTCCGTAGGATGCATTTTATGCAGTTTCAAGAGTCTGCTCCTCTTTAGGGACGTCTTTAAAAGTCCTCGTCAATCCATTAGCCATTTACAAGCATGTAACGTGTCCTTAATCAGTCACTGATAACTGCTTTAACCAAGCCTCGATACTTCGAGACCCTCGTAGTGAGGTCTTTTGAAGCTCACTATCATTTATTACTTTAGCTTTAGGACATGGCACCTTAAATGTCAGCTAGTTCATTAAGCTATAAGTACTGCAAAAGTTTACAAAGTTGGCGAATATACTAGGTTACAAATTAAAAATGATGTAGAAGAAAACAATACACTAAAATATCCTAACAACATTAATAAAAACTTCTCTAGCCTTATTTCTCTAAAATTGCATGCAAAATCAAGATGTCAACTAACCTGCTTGATTGTATGAGTAAACATCCGTCGGTGAGACACCAGTAGCTCTGAGGAAACATGGCGAGGGATTGCCAGTACTCGATGCGGCGTTCCTCGATGATCCTGATGTCCAGCTGCTCGCCCCCGAGCCTGGTGGTTGTTCCTGTTGCTGTTGTTGAGGGGGATGATAATTTTGAGGATGCTGAAGGTGGTGACTGTGGTGCTGAAAGCTTTGTTTTGGACTGAAGGGTGGAGTCTGCAAGGGTGATGAGGGCATTCTCGTCGTGCAGTCCCTGTACGAGCTAATCCGGCTCGTCATTACGAGTGGCGGTGCCGAAGACTGACGCTCCTGTGTCGCCATACCCTTGGGAAAGATCTGTTTATGATGCATGCATTTTTATCCCAATGGAATCAGTGCTAGTTTGACTCTAGTTTTTACATGACCGTATCCATGCCCGTTCATTTGATCCCTCTCTTTATGCCACTGGAGGCGGGTTTAACTAAAATTTCTTCACGACTTACTCGATTTTGCATGTTTTTTAAAATAGCTATTCCTTATAGCCAAAATCTCACTGTAAGCTGCGGTACTTTTTGGAATATTAATAGCTACTGGGTAGTCTATCAATCAACTGCGCCAATTACATGCAGGATCATTCCCCATTTCTCCAAGTGTTTTACATAGCTTGATATTGAGAGATTACTTACATTGCCTAATTCTACAGGTTGGGGAGTGGAGAGATTGCTAGTGTGGTCACAGGTGCCTACGGAGGCTCGATTCGCACTCGGGCAACTACTGCTGCTGCTCTTGCTCCCATGACATACTGATTGGGAGGTCACCTTATTACACTTCCAGCAGACGACGGCGTTGGGAGTGTGAGGAGGATCTAAAAGACGAAATTGTTTTACCGCAAATTGGATCGCTGAATAGATGCTATTCCTAAACACAGTAGAAGGAAGTACGTAGCCGAAATTTATCCACTCAGTGGAGACAAGGTAATGAAGCTATTGAAAATCGTCACTGGAAAACCTACGTTCAGTCTGGTGTTGTTCTTCTCCTCCATCTGTATCACCGTGCCCACCGCCTCTGCTTTTGAGGCGTCCGTTTGTGCACCTTGCGGTGCCATTGCCAGCACTACCACTGCCTCGTTTGCTTCGATCTAGACGTCGATGTAGAAGACTTTGAGTCGTCGCTTCTAGGGTGGCCTCCGCCTTCCCTGTAGCGGCTTCCACGCCTGTGCCAGCAAAGAGGAGCTCGGTGGAAAAGGAATAGCATCGTCCATCCACCGCCTCGTGCCACGACTGGCCACTGACCGGCGTCGCCGCTGTCTGCATCCCAATTGACTGGCTGATGCATTGCGGCTCTCCGGTCCACGACCAATCTGTATAGTTCGGCTGCTGCGGTAGACTCAACCGTCCTTCAGTTAAACAATGATGCACAGAGTCAATGTCTAGCATGAAAAGTTGAAGGCAGTTACATAGTCAGGAGATCTCGCATCAGTGG